ATGCGCCCATCTCCTGGGCATTCGTCTCCCAAATCTTTAACCATGTGCGCAGCGATGGTCCCTCCTGTTCCTTCTGAAACCAGCCAACAAATGGATCCATTCAAGACGGTTTCACACGGCTGTTGGCTGGGCGGGAAACGAGAGGGGCGCGTCTCTCTTTCGCTTCGTCCTTCCTTCTATGTCCACTGCGTCCTTGTGTACAATATATAGATTTTCCTCTATATCCTATATATAGATCCGATCAGATCTGTGGGCTGTGTGTTCCACAGGGGAAGCGAGTTGTCGTCTCCTTCTAGCTGGGACTTTACACCTCTTCTAGTTTCTCAGCATTCGAGAGCTGCAAAAAAAGTTGCAAAAATATGTTTTAATTCGATTTTGTCTTAAGTGGTAACTCTCACTACTAAAGCTGAAGACACACCTGGAGAGTTTGTTGATTCTTAAACAATACACTTCAGTATTCATTGCTCTGGTCTTTGACACTAGCCAAGTATTTAATTACTGTCGGCTTAATTCATATTCAATTTAGTTCTTTGGTGTTTTCCATTATAATTAGGTACTGACAGCCCTAAATAATAAAATGAGATGAACATAAGCCAAATGTAACCCTAAGTTTTAATAATTGTTTATGCTAGAACTAAGTAATTACAAGATTATGTGAAAGTAGAAACTATTAAAAATTTGCATTTCCTATGTAACTGTAAAGGGAATTTAATTGATACCATTTTTAATACAATTTTATGATTTTAACGAAATGACTAAATTTTATTTATTTGAGGTCTCCTCGAAGATGAAATACCCTACTTTCTTTAAACTGCTAGAAAAAACCTTGGTATTTAAATAAAAATCTATTAAACATTTCAAAATTTTAGCCAACGTGATCTTCCATATATGGCAATTTTATTTACTTATTCCACCGTCTAATACGAATTGCGCGACATTTATTGTTTATGGTAATCCTCCGGAAAGATCAATAAAACACGGCCTGTAAATGTTTGTAATTGGATAAATCTCCTCAATGGCAACCCACTGCCACTGATACCGATACCAAAAAACCGATTTCGATATATAGGTTAAACTTGGGAGATAAATAAACAAAGGAAAGGAGACAGAGAAAGAGAATGGAGAGGGGAAAGAATAAACTAACATTAAATAGTGTTTGTTGTTTTTGGCCTGCCACTCTCCAAAAAGGCGTTTGCATGCATTTCGCTCGAATGGAAAGCGTAAAAGGCCAACTATTAAATTATGCGCTCTTTTCTACAAATAGAAATGCCCCGCTCGCCCCTCTCTCCCACATCTTTCTCTTCCTCTCTCCTCACCGTCTTTCTCCTTTTTGCAACCAATTGCAGCTGAAGCGTTTAAAGGCGCCAGGCGAAAATTGTTTTTCAGAGCGCAAAAAATAACACTGGCAAGAAAAGAAAAACCAAAATGGGCCACAACAAAAAGGTTTTTCACATACGAAAAGCAAATATATAAAAAGAAGAAAAAGCGCTCACGAGACTCTAAGGCCCGCAAATAAATGACTTCCAAAGTGATATTATATCTCTCACCAATACACTGATGGCTACTCTAGTTTTGTGCACTGTGCGTGTGTGTGTGCAAGGGCGTACAGGTGGCCGTAGTATGGGGGTGGGAGTGGGACAGCACACATGCACATGTACCGAAAGGCGGCTTCGATTATGCAAAAAAAAAAAAAAAAAGCAAAGAAAACCAAAAATAGACAACGAAAATAAAGTAAAGTCCAGGCAAAGCAATGCCAAATGCACACACTGACAAACTACACATTTTACCCGATCCGATCTTCATTTGTTGGCTGAATTATCCTTAAAAATTAAGTTGCATTTGGCAGAGGAAAACTCCCGCACACACACACACTCATGCAAGCAGGCCAGCGCGCACATGTACTTGTACATTTTAGGCAAATTAACACTTTCTTAATGCTGGTCAGTGTTGGTTAACGACCTAAGGTGGGCCACACAGAGAGGGCGTGAGGTGATAATAAAGACGGAAAGAGAGGGAGCGCGTGCTTTTTTATTGTTTTAACCGGCAAAACTATGCTGGGCTTAATTTAGGCTGATTAATTAATTGCAGCTGCTATCGATAGGCCAATAGGGTTGCCACCTGGCTGCGGAAGACTGCTTTACAGCACTGGCCGCGGCAAATGTAAACATTTAATTTATGCAACCGCTGCAGTAATTAAGCGAAAATCAATTAAGCAGACTACTTCAGTCGCCTGCTAACTTTCCCGCACGCACACACGTGCGTATCTGGCCCGCTCTACACATGACTTCTCGCGTAATTCCGTTGGAATTTTTCACACACAATTATTTTTTCATTCTTTTCTATTTTATTTTTTTGGCCGTTTTACCTTGACGAGTTTTGTTCTCGTTGCGATTGCGTTGTATTTCAAGTTTATCACACATACGTATACGCACGCACACACGCGCACGAAACGTGCACAAAATACACATGTTGGCCATAAAAAAAAAGCTAAATTATAGTATGACAGTTGGTTTTTTTGCAGCTCAAAACCCGCCCAAAACTTAATGGAAAATTACAGTTGTTGTCGGCGTCGCTGATGCTTCTTCTGCTCTTTATCACACACGCTCTCTCTCTCTGTCGCTCTCTCCCTCCTCGCTATATATCCTTATAAGCACTAACAATTTTTGCTTCTCGCTCACTTTCGTTGCGCTCCCGCTGGCGCTCTCTCTTTCGCTCCTTGCCTCTATGCCTTTTTATGCACACCACACACACACACTCTCGATGGCAGCGAGACACTCGCACACACGCACACGACTGGTTCTTTCGAGAATCGAGTTATTACCGAAATGTATCAAGTGCAATAATTGCGCCTCGCAGTGCAAGTTTGCATTTCCTGTGCAGATCGCAGGCCTCAACCGCGTGCGATTGTCCCTCGCCCTTTTGCAGCGCTCCCTGTCAATTTCAGTTAATTTAAAAACGACAGCAAAATTGCAATTTGTGTGCGAACACGCGACTACTAGAGGTGGAGAAACATCGATGCTTTTCAAACATCGGTAACATCGATGATTGGCAGGGCGCTATCGATGTTTTTTAACTTTTATTTATTTCCGTTAACTATTGTTTTGGAGGGACGGCAAATAAAAGTTGAGTTCAAAATAGAGGTGGAGCAACTGGTATGGAAATGTTTTCGATGATTTAAAAAACATCGGTGAAATATCGATGTTTTAAATAAAAAACCTTATTTGTTGCTTTTATGCAAGTTAAAAAATCTTAAAAACAGAAAATTAACTCACTCCAAGGGATTAAATTGTTCTAAGAGAGTAGCTTCTTCTTAGAGATCAGCTTAGTAAAAACATTTTTCATTAGTCTTGTGCGAGAATCCAACAGGATCTGACCAGCCTCATTGAAGTACCTCTTAGGAAGTCGCTTCAAAGTAACCTTTTTAAGGGGCTTGTAAGCTTTTAAGTATCTGCACTCGCCTAAAACAAAGGTTTACATCTCAAAAATGTAGTGGGTTGTAGATAATAGGTATTTAACATCGATATTTCTGTACAAAATTTAAAAACATCGATATTTTATCCTATCAGCTACCAGTGTGACCGTTGAGCAATAGAGCGGAAACGGCTACTGTTGGTGGGTCGAGTCTATCGATACATGGGCGACGATAATACTTGTCGTTGGTGGGTGTTCTTGCTAAATGAAAAGGGGGCGATAGTATCGTAATTAAATTTTAATATTATTTTTAAAGATTGGACAAATTATTTTCCTTAAAACTCGGTTAAAAGGAATATCCTTTAGTTTAGCTGATGCTGGAAACAAATCATGGGAATACATTTTTAATACGTCCGACAATAAATTTGAACCGGCGTACAGTTACTTTGCCCCGGTCAGCTGGTCATCACTGATTCATCATCCCTGTTTGTGTTTTTGCTTTGCCAAGATGAACGATGAAACATCGCAAAATTCGGAGGAAACTGTACAGCGTCTGTATTAGTCTTATTAATATTTGTACCATGAAGGAGGAGTCAGAGCCGTACGAGAAAAGGATTCGCATCGACAACGTGCAAAGCCTGGGCACTGAAAATGATTTGTTGATTGCCAAGATATGTGGTATGTTGACAATAATTGAATATTCATCAGCACCTGTAACACCGAAATCCTTTTAGACCTCCAGACAGAAGTTTTAGCCCAGCGCGCAGAGATCAGGCAATTGACGAAGGCCATAACGACGCTGACGACTTTTGTGAAGCAGTCTATGAGATCGATCAAAATTAATAATGTGACGCAAAATTGCGACGACGATTTCCCAATTAATTCTGAGGAGGAGCTACTCGAAGTGGATGGGAAGATAAGCCGGGACCCCACCAGCTATGTGGGTTTTCAATCCATGCCCTGAAACAAAAATATATTTTCATATTAACTTATTTTTAGGTCCATGCCATGAAAAAACTGTTGAGCCAGGGAAGGACGAGCCGCTCTATAAGACTAATTTTTTGCGATGACATCATTTTAAACTATAATATTGACGGAGCGAAGGATAAGAAAAGACTGAAAGATTTTGCTCACTTGTTTCGTGCGCTGATGGGTACGTTTTTAAGCCTGGTTTACAATATTATTTAACAACCGATCCTTTTGCAGATGCCATCAGTCAAATTGAGAAGTCACTGCCCGCCGAAAGAGTTCTATCCAAAGCGCTGAGATGCGTTAAAAACTGCGCAGCGAAACATAAGGGCAAGAGCGGTGGCGAGGATCCTTTGGGCTTTTTAAATATAGATATGGCATAATTAGTTAACATAAATGGTACAACTACTTGTAACCTTTGATGAATCATTGGGGAAGCGGCGAAAGCTGGCAAATCATAAAGTCTTTAATATTTAGCAGTAGGGTTAAATAATAAAGGTCTTATGACATCGAGCACTGTGCATATGCTATAAAAAATGCGTAGTTAAATATAATTTTAGAAGAAATTTATTAATAAATATCGGTTCTATCGGAAGGCCATCGCTAGCCGCTAGCGGCGGTTGGAACTAAACTATCGTTGTGATGTCATCCCTAAGTTGCGGATCATATTATAGCTTCAATTTTATTTTCGTTAGAAGAGCTGCCCACAGGTGGGAGACGTTACTCCATTCGCCACTGGCTGCATCGTGGAACGGGAAAGGAAACCATGGCGCTGGCCATCAAGAAGCGCTTCGGCTCCTACGCGGAAACGGTGGAAGGGGCGCCGGCGGTAAAGAAGCTGCGTCTGCAAACACTAGCCGCCGATTCGAAGGCCGGGAAAGCCGGAAAAGCGGGAAATGCAGAGCGCAAGCTGACGGCACTCAGCCAACTGGACGTGTATGTGGGGAATCTGCTGCCGTCGGCCCTGCCCCCTGGGCCACCGACTGCTCCCCCGGCCGCCACGCCTTCCGGCGCCGCCGTCCTTGGGAATCTGCCCGCAGCGACAGGAGGTCCCACCACCCAACTGGCGGCCGGGAATAGCAGGGAGCTCCTCGAGCTCCTGGTCAAAATCACCGACGAGATATCCTACGAAGACGTGGAACTGGCCGAGCTAAAGGAGGTGGCCAACAAGATCTTCCAGCTGTATCAGCTGCAGGAGCGCGACAGCGACACCTCCATCCGGGTGAAGCTGCTCGAGCTACTGTCCGGACTCGGCTGTGAGTGTGCCACCGAGCAGGCGGTGACCATGATCATCGACTACTTCATCTTCCTTCTGAGGAAGGAGGTCTCCCAAAAGGTGCTTGCCCAGGGCATGATGTGCCTCTTCCGGATCGGGGAGCGCCGGAAGCATCTGGTACCCATCTCGTACAACACCCAGGTGGCCCATTTGGCCAAGGAGCAGCTGCGCTCCGGCTCCACGCACACGCAGAAGAACGCTATGCTGGTCATCGGTCGGTTCGCCACCAAAATGGAGGGCGAGCGGCACTACGTGTGGAAGCTAGCCTTTTACATTGACTCGCAGGACTCGGGCGTTCGGGCACAGGCTCTGCACGCCCTGCTAACCCTCGGCGAGCGGGGATCCCAGCTGCCTGCGGTGCTCTACAAGCGTGCCGTTGAGGCCATGAAGGATGACTACGAGTGCGTGCGCAAGGAGGCCCTGCGCCTGGTCTTCATGCTGGGCAACCGGCATCCGGACTACATTATACCCTCGGACCGCCAGCAGGAGGAGCTGCGCATGATAGACGCCGCCTTCAGCAAGGTGTGCGAGGCCCTGTGCGATCTCTCGCTGCAGATTCGTGTGCTCGCTGCGGAACTGCTGGGAGGGATGACGGCCGTCAGCAGGGAGTTCCTGCACCAAACGCTGGACAAGAAGCTGATGAGCAATCTGCGACGCAAGCGAACGGCGCACGAGCGGGGTGCCCGCCTGGTGACCAGCGGCGAGTGGTCGTCTGGCAAGCGGTGGGCGGACGATGCGCCGCAGGAGCACCTGGACGCCCGGAGCATCTCGATCATAGCCAGCGGAGCCTGTGGCGCCCTCATACATGGCCTGGAGGATGAGTTCCTCGAGGTACGCACAGCGGCCGTTGCCTCCATGTGCAAGCTGGCCCTCTCCCGGCCGGATTTCGCGGTGACCAGCCTCGACTTCCTCGTGGACATGTTCAACGACGAGATCGAGGACGTGCGGCTGAAGGCCATCTACAGCCTGACGGCCATTGCCAGGCACATAGTGCTGCGCGAGGATCAGCTGGAGATAATGCTCGGCTCGCTCGAGGACTACTCGGTGGACGTGCGCGAAGGACTTCATCTCATGCTTGGTGCCTGCCGGGTGTCTACACAAACGTGCCTGCTGATGGTGGTGCAGAAGCTGCTGGATGTGCTGGCCAAGTACCCGCAGGATCGGCACTCTACGTACGCCTGCATGCGCAAGATTGGCCAGAAGCATCCGCACCTGGTGATGGCCGTGGCCGTTCATTTGCTGTACGTGCATCCCTTCTTCGAGACGCCCGAACGGGATGTCGAGGATCCGGCCTACCTGTGCGTTCTAATACTCGTTTTCAATGCGGCGGAACACTTGGTGCCCATCATCAGTCTGCTTCCCACGGCCACCCATCGGCACTACGCCTATCTGAGGGACTCGATGCCGAATCTGGTGCCCCAGCTGCCCATCGAGGGGGCGTCCTCGGCGAGTGCCACACACAGAATCGATTCGGCCCTGCGACAAGCGGGCAGCTCGGCGGAGTACCTGCAGATGATCCTTAGCCACATCGAGGAGATCTTCACCATGGCTGACGAGCGTGTCGAGCTGCTTCAGACGGCCCAATCCAATCTGCAGGTGGCTACGGGACCTCACGGGGTTTACTTTTACTTGCAAATAACTTGAACTTCTATGTTTTTAGCGCCTGGGAGCCATCGATGCGGGAATGTACGGCACATCGAACTTTCTGGAGACCTTCCTGGCGGCCCAAATTCAGATCGAACAGATGCAGCGCTGCGCCAGCACGCAGCGGAGCCGGGTGCCGCTGAAGGAATCCCTGGCGGCACTTATTCGCAACTGCCTCAAGTTGCAGCACACGTTCTCCGGCCTCAACTACGGCGATATCCTGCAGGTGAAGCAGCTGCGATTGAGGGCCTGCGCCCTGCACTTGGTTCTGGTGGTCAGGGATCGCTCGCAGAGTGCTTTGGGTCCCTGCCAGATGCTATTGCAAACCGCCGGTGATATCAGTGAGTTCATCAAGGCGAATACAAAGGACGAGGAGGATAAGCCGCCGGTGGGAGTCTTGCCATTGCTGGAGACCGAGCACTGCAAAAAGGAGCCGGCACGAAGGGATGCCCAGCCGGATAGCTTCACCCGCCAGTTGCTAAGCAAACTGGATGGCATATCGGATCCAAAACCGGGTCGCGTCTTCCGCGAGATTCTGCCGTTGGTCCAGCAGGCTCCGCCGCTGGCATTGCCACCCGCCAATGAGAAAATACGCCGCTGTGTGGCCAACATCCTGGAGCCGTGTCCGCTGCAATCGCAGGATAATGTGATCAAGGTTACCGCTGGCCTAATAGCAGCCGTGCCCTTTGTGGCCGAGATCGATAATCTCCTGGAGTCGCAGAAGGCGGACATGCGGATCAAGATCAAGTACCCGGACCAGCACGTGCACACGGTGGTGCCGAAGCGAAGTGACTTCAAGCCCATCATGACGGAGCAGGGAGAGCACGAGACGAATGTGCGCCTGCGCACCACCATTCTGCTGTCGCACAGCGTTTGGACGGAGTCCTCGCTGGTGGAGATTCAACTGTGCCTGGCCGTTCGTCCCGGCAGCGAACTGGAGCTGTGTAAGCCGGCCAAGGTGTTGTTCGCACCCAAGCCAGTCAGGCGGGGCATTTAGCCTGACTTCCCGGGGGATGGGTTAGATGGAGTGGCTGTAGGTCCGGATCTAGAGGCGGAACTGGTTGATGGGATCGTGGGTGAACGGCGCCGGCGGCGGAGGAGCGTATTGAAAAGCTGACAAGGCCACACAGCCGCTGGAGCAGCAGGAAAATCGGTTTGCCTAGCAACTGTTGGTTAGAGGAATAAGATAACAGTTGGGTAGCATATGTATTTCTTAAATGCAATTAACATATTGTTTGAGCATAAATTGTATAGGATATATAATATAAATTTTTTCAGTTTAAATAACAAATTATGTATATGTAAAACAAGAGAAAATAGCTCATTTGCTCGTCGAGAAAATGGTCAAAATGCTTGATTTCTAAATTTCAGAAACCAGGCGAACATAAACGCTTAGTAGGTGTAAAACGATCAGCTGATTATCTTAATTCAAGCTTACTTAGAGATGCTCCCGTGATTTGTTCCTTTTGGCACGGCCTAAGCAAATACAAAGGACTTAACTGTTACTTTGTGCATATCGTGACAATCTCGTGACAAGATCGTGACAAGCTGGTGACACGGCCATGGTTGCTCATCTCTGGTCTGCGTTTGGCTCACAACTAACGGTTCTTTCCCATGGAGATCAACTCCTATTGGTCAGTGGGAGGAGGGGAAATATAGAAAGGGCCGCCATTTTGAAATTGAACAGTTATTTAAGTTCAATTCTAGCTACCAGCTGTCACTTGCTAAGTTTTATGTTTGCCTGGTGCCTGAGACCTGTAAGTCCAGCACTTTGGCTGAACAAATGTTACGAAGCCTTTCAATATATTGAAGTAAATGAGTGATTTTTAAATTTTAAGCACCAGGTGAACAGGGAAATTCGTAGGTGGCCAACGATAAGTTTTAAGGCTTAACTAGAGGTGTGCCGCTCCAAAATATGTAGGGCCTTTGTTGCCGATCAAGCGATTGCCCACCTCTAACGCTTATACTAAACTAACGGGTTCCTTCCAGTAAGAAAATGTTAACGCCCAGCAGTCACTTGCTACGGATTATGTTGGCCTGGTGCCAAAGATCAAAAAATTAGCCGTGAAACTCGCAACGGCAGATAAATTTTGTCAGAAAAATTCATTTTTAATTCCCGGAATGTGATGGGGATCGGCTGTTAGCTGCTCAAAACAGTTAGTCTTTCAGCTGTGCGCCTCGATTTGACCAAGTTACTACTGAAAAACTGCAAATAAATGGTATTTTTGTCTGAAATCCTACTACCTTTTTTTCGACCTCAAGAAACTAGGTATTTTGGCAATCATTTTGGGAATTGAGGTCGTAATAGGGAATGCCATATCTCGTTGAACTCGTAATTAAATTCCCAATCAATTGGCATTCAAACCCGAAAACTTTAATTTTTTACCGATTTTAGCAAAAATAGACGATGTTACCCCTTATGAAAAATGTGAAATTTAGTCAAAAATAAATTTCCCGGACTGTGATGGGGATCGGAAGCCTAGGTTGTTAGCTGCTCAAAACAGTTAGTTTTTCAGCTGTGCGCCTCGATTTGACCAAGTTACGACTGAAAAACTGCAAAAAATAATGCTATTTTTGTCGGAAATCCTTCTACCTATTTTTTGACCCAAGCAAACTAGGTTTTTTGGCAATCATTTTGCGAATTGAGGTCGGAATAGGGAATGCCATACCTCGTTGAACTCGTAAACAAATATAAAGTCGGTTCGCGTTGAAACCTGGCACATTTAATTTTTGAACAATTTTCGCAAAAAACCTGATTCATGTGAAAAAAACACCAAATATTTTCTTTTATATAGTTTCTATTGTTTATTTCTCATTATAGGTTTTACAGCTTACACGTTTTCTGATCTTTTAGAAAGCACTTTCTCCATTTGCTCATTTTGATTTTCCTCGGCAAAGATTTTTGCTTTATTCTGATCCCGTTGATGTTTTTATATACGCTGCTATCTTTTCTGCTTGTTTGTTGTATACGAATTTATTAATCTTAAGTTTATATTTGATTCGCTAAAAACTCATTTTAAAAAAGTATTTTGTTTTCTTGTGTCTTCATTTGCTTTCGATTTTGTTCTGCATAATATTTAATTTGTTGTTAGCCCGTTGGTTAGCAATGATAATCGTAATAATAATATGCAAGTAAATTGTTCAAGTTGGATATTATTGAGTGGTTAGATAAGTAGTTCTTGTCGTAAACATTTTCAATATGCTGTGAAAAATATACAATACAAACACATCAATTTTCAAACCACACAAAAGTCGATAATTAATCGTTTATCGTTAATTGTTCATTGTGTCTTCTTGTTTCTTGCTAGGAATCACAGTATTGTGCAAATTACCTTTATTAGTTTCGAAAATTGTTTGCATGGGATGTCTGTTTGCTGTTTAGTGTGTAAATGTTTATGATTCTGTAAATGTTAATGTAAAATAGAACCCGACACGGCAGTGCAGTTGTTGTTGTTGTTGTGGCTCCCTCGCTATCGGTATAGATAGTGCTTCCTCTGGCTGTCATCGAAGACAATCGATTATTTCGATAATTCCACTGATGAACACTTCAGTTTGTTTTGTTTTTATACAAATACGACAAAAGAAGAAATATTAGTATAGTTAAATCGTTTTACGTTTGCCTTTTCGGGTTTTCACATTGTTTTTGACTATTTTTAGTTTTTATTTGGGGAAATCACAATATCTATGCAGAATCTTATACATCTCTCTATATGTTTTGTATATATATATATATCGCTTTGTCGTGAACATTAGATTTAGATCGTTGTCTCCTATACTGTAAATATATATCATATATCCATATATATATACGTTTGCATAGCAAGTTTTGTTTGTATTGATTTATGTAGTTCTTTTGTCTTTGTTTGCTGTACTTGCAAGTCCTTGCATGTCCTTTCTGATCTAGTTTCCGTTTCTGTTTCGGTTTTCTACTCCCCTCCGCTCTACTTTCTCCTTGTATATCTGTTATATCAATCGTTGGGATATGCGTGGTGCAGGTGATTTGTGTGTGGATCGGTTGTCTCCCAATTGTGGTGTGGGTTCGGTTTTCGGGGAAGTTTGGGTGTTGGGTAGTGGTAGTCGATTCGATTCGATTGGAAACTATGCTGAAGCCGGGGATTATAGTTCGTTACAAGTAGCTAATTGAAAAAACAACAAACAGAACGCAGTGCACAAAATATGAGTCATCAAATTACCTGCCTCTCCCTTTTTTGTTTTTAAATCTATGCAAAAATTTGACTAAGCAACCCTGTATGTTCGTAAAAGACCAAATTATCATAAGCTTGTCTATCCACCTAATGTACTTAATATACTAATTCGCAAATAAAACTAAACCGATTTAAGTTAACTTTTCAAAAACTGAGTCCGGTTCGGGTGTGATTGTGGTTTTCCGGTTTCGATAAAAGCGCAAATATTAATAAGTAGATATATTCGGATCGAGTTTCTTACAAAGCTCTTAGCACTTCTTCTTTTAAAGCGGCAAAGATTTTCCAAAACTAAAATTGTGTGTTTTTTTCATTCATTTTCATTTTTCATTTTATTTGTTAAATTGTGTTTGTTTGTTTAGATTCTAATGCCACTTTGTGTGTTTTTTAGTTAAAAAAATTATGAATACATTGTTATTATTACAGATATCTGGATTATATCTGGATAAGGGAAAACCAGAGACTCAAATTGCATCTCGGGGATTTTAACATTTTCATTAAATAATACATACATTTAAGGGAGTACCGTGTGGAACAATTATAGCTGCATATTTTATAATAGGTTACAATGCCCGACTCGTTCAAGTGGGTCATCAACTAATTTGTTAATTAACTAATTTGCTTTACTTAAAGAATTAATGGACAAAATGAAAGGATTCTGTTTAAACACTACACGCGAAAAATTGCATTAGACTATGGACGAAAATCGGAACTTATACGATACATATATACGAATTGCCGACGAAGGAAATACATCTGCAGTTTTAGCTTCCCTTGATTTCTTGAACTGGCGTTGGAAAATCTGCTCTGCCCTTAAAGTCTTGATTGTGGTGAAAAGTACTCGAGGTCAAGTTGAAAATTTGACTTGCTGCTAATTGAACACATCGATATTTGGTTAGTCGTACATTAACGAGCAGTTCTGTATAATTGATTGCAAAATAGTCAGGGCATTTTCTCGCAATTCAGTCAATCATTGTTCGAAGCTGCCCGATGGTTCGTTCTTATTTGGTTTTTGTACATTTTGAACAGATCTTAGTTTAGATTAGACTGGAATGGATATATCGTGCATACCTGTTGCTATGCCTCCATATTCCCTCTCGATCCTTCGGTTCGCAATTTGCTCACTTTGGTTTACAAAACCATGTAGACAATAATCCTCGTGCCACTAATAACTAAAAGGTATTTTAGTACAAAAAAAAAGTATTACACAAATAGGCATCATCGTTAATTGTTCTTCTCATTCGCCATACATATTTTAACGTTTTCATTCATTTTTTGTTTTTGTTGTCGTTTTTTAAGCTAATACACAAGTTTTTGTTTTGTTTTTGAAAAGGCGTTCAACTGTGTGCTAGAATATTTGTATAAGCCAAAAGAAGCAAAATTATATGCTTTAAATTCATGCGAGTTTTTCTTCACTTTACAATTGTTTTGTTTCTCTTTTTTATATTTATAATTTTGTTTCGTTTTTTGCAGACACTTAAAGCAGTTTTCGTTTTACACATAGAATTACACAAATTTTTTTTTGTTTTTTTTTGTTTAGGGGGCTTTTGAATCGTTTTTTGAAGAAAATCAGGAGAACAAGGGGCAAATGATGAATAATCCCAGCCACGCCTCTTAGACGTAGGTGGCCACGGCTCCGGCTGCAGCTCCTCCGTTGCTGGCAGAGGCGCCTCCTCCTCCGGCTGCTGCCCCCCCAGACGAAGATCCTGATGATCCGGCTGCTGCCGATGCCGATCCGGCTCCTGATCCGCCGGCTGTGGGCGCCGCCTGGTGCGCCGCAGCGGAGTTGTTCAGCGGCTGTGGACTGACCGGCGGCTGAAGCTTTCCAGGGACATACTGGCCAATGAAAGAGCCATCCTCGGTGAATTGTCCTGGGGTGAGAAGAAAATAATAAGGTCATTTCTGTTATTCTCCGCAGTTTCTATAGTTGTTACGGTGAACGTATGGTTTCAGTTCTTCAACTTTTCATATCAATGTTATTTTGGTTTTTTTTTTAAATTATTAAGAGTGCCATAGAAATCCCTCGAGGTTCTCTAAGCTCTTCATATTCTTTAATTTGATTTTATTATTTACTCTCTTAAGGCATTAATTAAAAATCATTTCAAAAATCGATATAAACTGGTGCAACATGATATGTAAAAGTTATAAAAAATAACATAAAACTGTGTTTTCTCTAGGTTAGTAATCATATTTATATTCGTAACCACAACCAACACCAGTGGAATTTTTTATTTTATTTGCGTTTTAATATTATTATCATTCATTGTTAATGTAGTTAATTATTGTTATAATTATCGTCGCGATTTCTTTAACTATCTGGATCGAAGCTGCAGGGAGTTTGTTAAACTAAAACTACTTTGGCAAGCAAACTACAAATACAAATATGTAAATAAACAATAAATACTTGAAAATGAACTCAACTTTACCTTGAAAATTTGTCAGCTCAAAGTGAAGATTAGCCAAAAAAACAAACCTAAATTCAATAGAAGGCTTACTATGACATGCACGCATATTTAAAAATAATTCCAAAGTCTACGCAATTGTCGGTGTTTATTATTCGGTTTTCTTTATTTCAATTGATTTTCTTTCTAATTTAATATGCGAAAGTACATCAACATATGTAAAAAAAAATTATATTTTCATATAATTATGATGTTCTCTTCACTCATTCTTTAATATTAAATACACTGAAAAAATAGACTTCTTTTTGTTGCTGTTCCCGGAAAACTAGGAAAACAAACAGAAACACTGTTTCACTGTCCAAAATCAAAGCAAAATTATTAAAAGTCATTACACAAACTAAAAAAATAAAATAAAGAAATAAAAACAAAATACACACAATAGGCTTAAATAAAGTAGTAAACATGTAAGCTACAAGGGTTTCATTTCGATTTACGGCCAATCTAAAACAGAGATTTTACATTCGAGTGTTGCTTTTTTTATAAAAAAAAATTAAATTATAACTTATTTACGCTTCATATTTATAAATATATATGCATTACAAGTAAAAGAGGGAAGAGAGCGGGACAGAGATATACAGAGTGCCGGGCGACAGAGTGGGACAGGTATACATGTGCGCAATATAGAGATTTCAAAAGCGAGCTTCATTTTCCTCATAGTTTCTTAAATTTTTAACAAAAAATTACACGTAGCAGCTGCCCGACGAAGTCCAGAAAACTAAATGAATTTTTTTCAGTGATTCACATGCATTTTCTTCTTCGATTACTACATCTTCCGATGAAGACTTGTATTTTTTTAATAGCCTTTTTGCTGCATCCTCGTTGTTGTTATTTTTGTTGCTGTTGTGTTGTTCATGTTGTTTGGCAGTATTGATTTGCATTTGTTGCTTTAACATATTTTAAAATTTTAATAGCTATATATAAAACCATTAATTTTATATATACTTTAAATTACTCGTGGTTTTTGCACTTAGTCAAGTACAAAAATTAGTTGATACCCATCATCAGTTGGGTAGTATTTCTTTAATGGGGTCCCATTCGTTTTTCTTTTTCTGCTGTGATGGTGTTTGGTCTTGTTGATATTTGGGGTAAGGGCTCGGTTTCGATATGTTTTGAGTTGCGGTTGCGGTGCGCTGCTTACTAATTAAATCAAAGTCCTTTGCGTCCATATTGGCCAATAAAGGATCCATCTTCGTTCATGCCTGGATATTGGTTGGTGTTGTTGATTTATAATGTACGTTTTTTAAAATTTGTTTACGTGTTTAGAAAAAAGAAAAAATGATACAAATATAATATAAATAATATATAGTGCAGTTACAAATAATAATAATAAGTAATATGAAACATATAAACAAAGAACACATAACAAGGAACACAAAATATGTAAATTGTCTGAAGTTAATTTTTCGTATCGGCGATCAAAAAACGTGCGCAGAAAAAATCGATTTCAGTCGATATTTTCGATATTTTTGTACCACTTATGGAGAGCAAATGAATGAGGACTTTTTTAAGAGAGTGGTTAGTAATGAAAGAGAACGAACAGTCAACGTCGTGCAAAGATCAATAAATCTATCAAAAGAGAACAAAAGCGCAGGGGCTCTCTTCGGTTGCCTGGAAGGAGTTGGGCAGAGCCTCGAACGTCATGCAGCATCTTGGAAGCGGCAAAAAACTTAGAGAGTGCGACACTCACAGCTCCGATCAAAAATTTAGCACTCAGAAAAAACAAATATAAACATTAGCTCCTTGCTCGCACACTTAAGTATGCTAGACCTAGGTGAGCAACAAATATATGTATATTTTAAGAAAGTAAAATAAAGTATCCTTAAAAATTACTCATACGACAGGTATGCCAGAATTTTGTCAAAAAAATCATTCTTCTATTTCTAGCCTTGTCAACTTATTGCTTCTTTGGAATAATTGTTAAAATCGGAAGAGCATAAAAACATATGTTTGGTTTAAGTCTACGTCAGCAATGTGAAAATAAACTTTTAAGTTCAATCATTTTCATCTTGGTCGAAATTTGAAATGGTAACAATTAGGGATACTAAAGATTTTTGTTAATTTGAAAACTATAAACAAATATTTCTTAAGTGCTATTCAAATGACCATCGCTGCTTTGGCATAAAGCTCTCTTTGAAGCGCAAGGAAACGAAAGAGCCAAAAGGGAAACAGGACAGGCAGCTAAACGAATAAAGGAAGAGAGCTACCTGACTGATTGGATAACAACAACGTCGGACTGTGGGGTGGGGGAGAGAAATGGAAAAGGAAACTTTCTCTCTCTCTCCTTCATATACCCACACTCTCCTTTAGGCTTTGCGGTGCTCTGCATCCGCCATGCACAGTTCGTAGGAGGGCGGGGCGGCCGCGGGGTTGGATATGGAGTTGGAAGTGGGAGATGGAGATGGAGAGGGCGAGGAGAGCGATTCGATCAATGGAACGGTTGACGCCGACGTCGACGGCGACTGAGGCAGCAAAGGACTTTGCTGTTGTTGATTCTGCAGTTGCAGCTGTTGTTGCTGTTGCTGTTGGGCGGACGTCGACTTGCTGCGGGCAGCGGCAGCGGCGCGAGCAGCGGCAGTGGCCACAGCTGATCATTATCCATTAAAATTTATCCATTTTTCATTTTCACATCCCAATCGTCAAACCAAAAACAAAACGTGGCAAAATAAATCAAGAGGTTGAAAAACAACCAAAGAGAGACAACAAGAAAAGCAAACATAATGGGGTGGAGGGGGGTGCTGTGTTTAACCCAAGAAAGGACACCTCTTTCTGACAGCCCCAAAAACGGCAATGCAGCGTCTTAACCTAATAAATAATTATATTCCAGTTTCTCTCCTTTTAATCCTGTACTCTAAAGTACACCATGCTTCTTAATAATATTTTGGGAGGTTATCTAAGATCAAAAACTATACAAAAATACATATGAAATTAAAAACGTTTTATCTAATGTTACCAATGCGGTGAGGACCAAACTAATGCATTCCAAACGCAGCGTTACCGTTTTTAAGGATAATCAGATAATAGAGAGGAGGGGCACTAGACAACGCGTATGATATATGGATTTCTGGTTCGATATATACGTATGCATATACAATTGGGAAGGACTCTAACCTGTGTCGCCATCCCCGTATTCGGCCATCGAATCGGTGTCGCTCTCCACGCCAGGTTTGTTCGCTGAATTCACGGATTGGCGACCAGCGCTCTTGTTATCCAACCTGCAATTAAAAACACATAAATCAATTAGTTATCGGACGTTTTTACTTTACAAAAGATTGATAAATTCGATAGTTTTCTAAGGACACGGTTAGGTCAAGGAACCTCTAAAATATTGGGTATGAACTGATTTTTAATGTAATGAGTCATTACTAATGACTATGCCTCTCATGTTCTGATTAATGTTTTTTGTTAACATCATGGGAGATTAGATACTTTTTGGACTTACGGTTGCGAGTACTCGTGGAAGCCGCCCTCTTCGGGATAATCCCGCCGGCCGTTGGCCAGCTCCCGATCGTGGACATCGTACTTGCCGCCCCGATTGCGCCGGATGATGCAGATGATGATGAACAGGATGATGATGAAGGCCAGGGCCAGCATCATGCCTATGAACCATCCGGCATTGGCCACCGCCTCGTTGGCCACCACTATTGGTCCCTCAACGGTGTTCGTGTCGATCTCCTGCGCGGCACTCGGCGTGTTGAAGTGCCCATCCACAGAGACGACCCGGAACTCGTAGGCGGTCTCTGGATCCAGACCGCTGACTACCTGGTGGTCCAAGTTCTTCTCCTCGTCTGTTTTCTCCCAATTGGTTACGCCCTTGATCCTGGATTGCACAATAAAGGTTTTGATTAGCCCAAAGTCCATAGCATACAGAATCATATTATATCATCTCACCTGTGCTGTGTGAAGAAGTGAGTGCCTGGATGACCCTCGGTACTTGGTATCCAGTTAACGCGGAATTTAGCCAGTCCATTATCGGAGGGCAGTTGTTCCCAGGAGAAAGAGGGCGTGGCCGGAGCTACATTGATGGCGTCCTTCAGCGTCGTCTTCTCGATATAGTGTCTGCGAGAGGTACAAGATGTAGATATATATATCAACACTGGATTAGATAGTTATAAACACTTACTCGGATCCCTCGCCCATTTTCGTGGTGGCGGTGATGGAGATGCGGTACTTGGTGTTGGGCTTCAGGCCTGCCATCTTCATGCGCGTGACCCTGGGATCGGTGACGTGAGGTTCGTACTCACGGCGAGGCTCCACATAGCTCTCCTTGACCTCTTCGAAGTAGATCTTGTAGCCGGTGAGCTTGCCATTGGGATACAGCGGTTTCTTCCAGTGCAGCATGAAGGCCGAGGAGCCCAGGGGATAGGCGTCCAATCCCTGGACCGGCGACGGCACACCCTCGGGCGTATCGAAATCGATGACCGCGCTCGGCGGACCATTAAAGCGCCCATTGTAGGCCAGAATGCGGGCAAAGTTCTTCGAATCGGGCTTGAACTGGGTGACCAGAGCATTGTGGGTATCGCCCTTCACATGTATCTCCCTCAAACCCTCCTCGCCCTCGTTCTCCGTCCAGGTCTGGATCTTGTAGCCCTTGAAGTGTCCCCTCACCGACTCCTCGCTCACCGGCGTCCAGGCCATGTAGCCACTGGTCGAGGATGTGATCTGTCGCATCGTAAAGTTGGTCGGCGCGTCCAAGGGACGATCCTCCCCAGAGTAGCCAACCACCTCCTCGGCAGCCACGTTGGATTCACCCCTGTCGTTGATGGCCACCACCTTGATCAGGTACTTGACGAACGTCGGCTGATCGGCGATCACAATGTTGTTCTGTCGCCAGTCGAAGATGTTGTTGTTCTCCCACGAGGCGGCCGGGATGTCGCGCTTCCAACTAACGTAGTAGTGGAAATTGGGGGCATTGTGCTCGATTTCCGGCATGGGTGTCCACGAGATGACCAGGTTGTTGGGCTCGGTGCCCTGGCCGACGACATTGTCGGGATTCTTGTACGGCACATCCGGCTGGGTAGTGCAACTCTCGCTGTGCGCCGATGGCGGCGAGGCTCCGATCTTGTTGAAGGCAATCACGCGGAACGTGTAGTTGGCCCACGGTGACATCTGGACGACGAACGAGGAGTCCGTGTTGGGCACCTTCTCGTAGGCCGCATCCCAGGAGGCCGGCGTGAAGGAGGTGTTGAACTGGATGGTGTAGTGGAGGATGGGCGAACGGTTGTCGCCCTGGGGCTCCCATTGAATCTCCGCCTTGTCGGCCTGGCAGGTGATGCCCGTCAGTCGGGGGGCATTCGGCACATCCTGAACGATCAAGTTCGCCCTGGCCGTCGCCTCATCCAATTTCGTCCGGGCCACACAAGTGTACTCGCCCGAATCCAGCTCCATGGTCTTGGCAATCGTCAGGGAATTATCGTTGGTCTTCACGAACCTCGGCTGGGCCTCAAAGTCAATCGACTGGCCGTCCTTCCACCAATCGATCTCGATCTCCAGCGTATCGTCGTGGGCCTCGTTGCAGCGGAATGTGGCCGATTGTCCGGCGGCCACCTCGTAGTTCTGCGGCTCCTGGGTGATCCGCGTGTGTTCCATGACCAGCAGCGAACCGTCCGCCTGGATCTCACCGAACTTGTTTTGCGCATAGCATGTGTATTTTCCGGCATCCGAGAAGGTTACATCTTGAATCTCCAGATCACCGTTCGCCTGGACATTGTAGCGACCGCCGGTCAGCCAGTTGCTGGCCCTCAGCCACTTGACCAGCGGCTTGGGGGATCCCTTCACCCGACACTTGATGGTCACATTCCGGCCATCCACACTGGAAACGGCCGATGGCGGCACCTCGATGGTTGGCGGCTCAGCCTGGACATTCAAATAGACATCCTTGTACACATAGCCAAGAGAGTTGGTGGCGTTGCACCCATAGTTGCCAGTATCGCCCTTGACCAGGTTCACGATGCGGATGGTGTTGTCCGTCACGGTTCGTCGGGGATTCGGGGGCGTCTGCTCGATAGGCTTGCCATTGTGTATCCAACTGATTTTGGGCTCTGGGACACCGGCGGCGCGGCACTCAAAGACCACCTCCTCATCCTCGGCGGCGGTCTGGAAGTCGGGTTCCTTGGTAAAGTACGGCACGGAGTTGACATTCAGGATGATCGAGAAGGACTGGGCGTTGCCCACGCCGTTGGAAACGTCGCAGGTGTAGGTACCGGCATCATCGAAGTTCGTCTGCCGGATGACCAGCGATTTGCCGTAGTGTCCCTGGGTGATACGGTCGCTCCACTGTATCCGCTGCCCGTCCTTGCTCCAAACGGTCTGCGGCAGCGGCGTTCCACCGTAGATGCAAAACAGTTCCATGCGCTTGCCGCGAAGGGCCAAGGATTGGCGACGGGAGACATATTGACGCACGGGAGGATGCTTGTTCTGGGAGGCACTCACGCCCATCTGCTTGACGTCGAGGAGCACCTTGTTGCCAATCTTGTATTCACTGCGGAACACCGAGGTGGCCGAGCAGGCGTAGTAGAAGTCCGAGCTGGCATCCTCGCGGGTGATGTTCGAGAACCACAGATTGCCCTCCGGATCGAGGGTCATGCGGGAGTTGTTGATCGACTTGATGCTGCCGTCGGTGGACTCCTGGATCATCCAGTTGACGGTGGGGCTGGGGAAGCCGTCGGGTGCCGCGCACTTGAGCATGAAGGGTTCGCCCTCCACGGCCTCCAGGGTCTTGGCCGCCTCGTCTTTGAAGGCGTTCAGCTCCGCCTTGCGCACATACACCGAGTTCGAGGTGGCCGTACCGAACTCGTTGGACGCGAAGCACTGGTAGTGGCCGCGATCCTCGTCCTTGGGCACGGTGATTACCAGGGTTCCGCGACCCGGCTGTCGCAGCATCCGGTCGTCGTACGCTTGCCAGTCGAACTTCTTGCCATTCTTGATCCAACTGTATCTGTTGGGGAGTAAAATGAGGGAGAAGGGTGTTAGCAAATGGACTTGTACTCTTGAACCAAAAAGACGGTTCCCTAAATTGTGGCAATTATAAATACATTTTTTTCGTGACCTTAGGTTTTTCATATCAATTCAATTTATGATCTCAATAGCTATGTATATTATACACCTACGATATTATTTTATTGATATATTAAAAAAAGTAAATACAAATTAATATTAATAAATGAACTAAAGAAATATTCTGAAATATCTTGGTTTAAATGATTTTTGTTTGAAACCATTTATGGATATTACAACAAGTAAAACCCTCAAGATAGGGCTAAATAATTGTCTATATCAAGTAGTTTTGACACACTGAATTCCACAATGTGCTAACAATAAACAAATACTTGTGCATAATTTCACTTGCTTTGAGATAAATTCACCAGTGGCCCGTGGGGTTATCTAATTCCTTTAATTGTTTTAGTGGACATAATCCCCATAGCCCCCGTCGTTTTTCCGTATTTCCTCACTGGCAACCGACTCATTAAGATCGAGACTCGCTAACATGATAATTTCCACATTTAATTCCGCTTAATCAACATTTCTCGAGGCGGCGGAGAGCAAAGAAGAAAATTAAGATAGTTTTTATGCACAAATTATGACAACTTGTTTAATTTCCAATTGCGAAAAATGTTGATTGAAGTGTGTGGAAAGGGGAGAGCAGGGGCGGTTACTAAGGGGGTAGCAGATTTTTGCTTGTTTCGTGTCTCAAGTAATTGCAATCAAGCCGCAAAAGGAAGTCAACGAGCTGAGCCCATTTTTTGCTGGTTATATATTGTTCAAGTTTGTATCTCATCTGGCATCTTTCAGTTTCTGTTTGTAACTGTTACTATGCCAGAGATTATAAATATATTTTTACAGTACAAATAAATTTTTAAAGGGAGTACAACTCGAAAAAATTAATAGCAGTTGGGATTGTTTGTTTTTACAGCCACTATATGATCCTCATTTTGTAATTAATGTACATTTTTCAAGATTTTACTACTAATTTTACCGCAACTGTAAATAGTTGTGCACTTTAGTACATATAAAACTCAAAAGCTAGAGTCAATTATGTTGGACAAGCCGCTCTGCTTGAGCTTGTTAAGCACATTTTTTATTATATTTTTTCCTTAGCCTGCCATACTTTACATAGCATTTTTTCCAAAGTATCCCCACACTTTTCAGCTCTTTTCATCGGTTCTTTTCGACTCGGTCTTGACGACGGGTCATGCAATAGGTCAATCATTTGAATTGTTTTTAAGTGTTGTAAGTTGAACTGTGAAGAGAACTCTGGGGAATTTGGAGTGGTGAGTGGGTTTGTTGAACTGCAGTGCAGAGTTAGCGCGCTAACAGATTTCATGGGAAGCAGGCAAGTCAAGAGCATGGATTTTAATTGGGTATTCCTCTAGTTTTCGAGGCTTTAATTTAGTTACCCGCCTTAAAAAAAATAGCGTGTTAATTTTTATCAATGAAAAGTGAATTGTAGCTCCTGGGCCAACCCTTTTTCCGGGTCAAAAAGTCCACCAAAATGAGACAGCGCATACCAGGCTTTCCATATCAGACCACGTGTATCGAAAGTGGGAAAGGGAATGCCCTGCGAACAGTTACCAATGACACATTAAGGCAGGGCACCCCTGAACTATGCACCCAAGCAAACTGGTCGGCGGGTCAATAAATTGCCAGCTAAGTGGAGTAGCAGGATGCAAGGGTACCAGGATACCAGGATACCAGGATAGTGGCCTAGGCAGTCAAGCGTTAAAGCACGACGTCTGTCGCCATCGCTCGACACCATCAAAACTTTACCCACACCTTTTACCTTTTTTACCCCGCTTTGCCAGCCAGCGATGCGGTCACCTGAAACGGTTGCCAAAGACAACAACTAAATGGCCAGACAACAGCTGCTCGGCCACGCCCCCGCCACCGTCCCGCCCTTCACGACGCCCACATAGTCACGCCCCCAGGAATTCGACGATTTGCAAGTTGAACGATTTGTACATTTATTCTTATGACTTTTTTATACGGTATCGCTTTCCTTAAGGGGTATGCAGGTTTTTCGAAATCTATCTTAGCTCAGTTATTGTAAATTTTTTAAAATGTATTAATTATGAATGATATGATACTTTAAATAAATAATGCTATCACAAATAATTACTTAATGACTACGTTTTAAAAACTTAAGCCACCGATCTTATATGTTGACTAGGGTTTTCCAAGCTGCTTAACCTGCTTTTTTATTTTATTTTCAGCTTGGTTTTCTTTTTCAAGCAGCTGTTCGGAGAGACCCTTTATCTTACTTCTTTTCCTGGACTTTTTCTCGACTCCACTTAACCCTAAAGTGCACTGATAGTTTTAGGGTTGACTTGGCTTCACTTAACTTCACCGCCCCCTTTTGCCAGTGCAGTCACCCCCCTCCCCCCTCTGCTGTCTTTTCACTGGGTTTGCCTTTGCCTTTGCCAGCCGTTCATGGCGATAGAAATCTGGAGGGAAAATGCCCAAGAAGTGCCAGGATATGGCTGCTGATGACTCATCAGCCCGGCTAAAACTGCTTTGCATAAAAGTGGGTGGGGAGGGTGTGTGTGTGTGTGTGTGTGGGAGTGGGGTGGGCGGTTTGGCGGTTGAGCTCCATTTCTGCATTATATTGGGGTTGCAAAATAACAAAATGCCGTAGCATACTTTTTTGCGCGCTCAGCGACGAAGGAAAGTGGACATAGCGAGGGCAGATATGTATGTATATACACATGTATCTATAACCCAGTTATATACATAGACCTAGCCGACTTACACATAAGAGCACTTTACTAGGATCTTGGAAATATCAACATACTTAGCCGAACATTATTATAACAAATAACTCTATCAATTTATTTCGAATTTATTTATATAAAAAACAAATTGTTTAAATATTTATTTGGTATACTTCTTCTTTTTTATATTTATTGCTTAAATATTTATTTGTTATTTTATCTGTTATTTTTTATAAGTAATATTTGATATAACTTAGGGATTTTGACCTCAAGCTCTATTACTGTGACCTCAATTGTGCTTTTATAGAGGCTAGAAGTAAGGAAAAGGAGCCAAGCCAAAACCGCTTTTAGCCAAAGGGAAAAGCTCTCAAAGAGGGGGAAAACGTGGCAAAAGGGGGGCGGGAAAGACGACGAGACAGTGGTCGGAAAGGGGGGTCTGACCAAAGTTAAACAAAGGGACCAAAATGAGTATTAGGTATAGAAAAGCCGCATCCTGCAGTAAGCCGCAAATAATTATACCCTGAGTAGCATCAACAGGTTGAAGGCGGCTTTTTTATTAGCCATCAAAAAATATTGATCAAACAAAATGAGAAAACACTACGAAAATATACCATTAGGACATCACATAATCCATTGAGTTGTGGCCTAAAAAGCTGGTTTTATTCTAAACATATAAAAACATTCCGAGTTATAGAACATTTGATGAAAATACTATACAATATTTATACCTCATCAACTATGGATTCCGTATAATTAGTTTGCACCTTTTTTACAATTGCATGCATTTATTTAAGTACATACATTTTGTATGGCTCTTCGGGGAATTTCGCTTAGAACATTTAAATTAGTTAGCCATTTCTTGTATTTCATTACCCAAATTAGTCACGCTTTTTAGAGTCCCAAGAGACTTTAGAATACATTGCCTTTTCGCTTGGACTTCATTCTGAATTAATTCCGTGAATTTTGTCGGCGGCGGTGGCCAAATGGCGAAAAAGTTTAAATGGCCTCCGGGCTTTTTTTTTTTTGGCTTTAGAGGGGGTTGCAAGTAGAGGAGCTGCCGACAAGGGTTGGCCCAAGGACCGTTCTTTTATTCTTTGACCCGCTTGTAGAAAACAGCAGAAAGCTTTTTCGGCTAATACCAAATCGTGAAATCCAACAGTTCGTAAGAAATTGGGCGTGTTTGCCCAACGTCGGCGTTTTTGTTGACATTTTGTGCGTGTCAAACTTGCAATGATACCGAAAAAGAGTACAGTAGAACTTCTGAAACTTGAACAAACATAAAAACTTGCATGTACCAAATGTAAGCCCTCGGATACTGAATTGTACCTCTAGAATTTTATAGCTAGTCCTTTGAAAACCCTATCTTTTTTGGAGTGTTGCCTGTGTTTTGTTAAAAAAAAAGTAGGGCGGAAGTAGGAAAAGCGGAAGCGTCTCCAAGGTATCAACATACTATAACAACAATACGAAACACGAAAATAGGACGTTGGGCAATCTCAAACGGGGTAACCACCGCGCATTAATGGCCGACCAACATGCAAACACTACAATGTTTTTATGGTTCGATGGCAGGCCCGAAAAAGGAGCAGCAGGGAAATGCAAAAGAGGTGGGCGGCGGAGGGGGAGCAGGTGACACACGACCTGTGACCTGTGACCCCTGGCATGGCAACAGTTGATGGATGGGCCCAAAGGAGCGAGCAAGTACAAAAATTAGGTGTGACAACGACCCCGAGGGAAAAGAAAGAACCCAACAAATAAAAGAATGTCCACTCTAATAATGTTAACTAAATCATTCCACTTTTGTATGACAAATTAGGTAACTCCACGAAAAAATTAAATACTCCCCATGCGAAATCCGGATGTCTTGCAATTTTGTTAATTAACTATACCCGTTACTCGTAGAGTAGAAGGGTATAACAGGTTCGTCGGAAAGTATGTAACAGGAAGGAAGCGTTTCCGATCCTACAAAGTATATATATTCTTGATCAGATACAGCTTTCTTTCAAGCTAGTGTAGTCACAAGTTGTATAAGCTACCTAACTAAACACTAAACTAGAGCAACGAAATATGTAAGTTTAAAACATTCTGATATCATGTAAGTGCAAACTTTTCGTGCTCATTTTGCTTTTCTTGTGCTTTTGATCAAGCAAAAGATGTGACATTGCCGTGACCTTCTGTTGGTTGCCCAATCTGTTCTGTCCATCAGCCGAAAATTACAGCAGTTGAAATAAAG